AATGGCTAAACCAATTATGGTATATAGATATAATGGAATAATATTATTACATAAGAAATGATGAAATGTATGATTTCCATGAAATCAATAAAGATTTGTATGAACTAATGCAGAATGAAAGGGACAGAATCAAAACAGTAATTTATCCAATTACAGCAACATTGTAAAGACAAAGAACTTTGAAAGACTTAACTCTGCTCAACAGAGAATTTCAGGGAATTCATGATCATGCATGCTACCCACTTTCTGACAGAACTGATGAACTTGCAGAATGGGACATAATAAGAGACATGGAAAAAGGATCTGTTTTGCTTGACTGCATGTATGTTACAAGAAGTTTTTTTTTCTTCTCTTTTTTTCCCAGTGAAAGGAGTTGGGAGAAAGATAAAATAAATGTTTTTAATTGAAAAAAATAGAAGGCCCAGCTGAAGAACTCAAAATTAAATGGCAATGAGAAATGGGAATATATTGACTCAATTTGTCTGTCAACCCTTTGAATTATCCAGAAGTTGTCTCCAGTTTGACTTTATTTTATAATATATGTCAATAATTTTCTCTAGAAAAAATGTATTGTATGCCACTGTCCACAGATTATTTCATCATCATAATCCTCACCATCATCTAGCATTTACATAATGCTTTTAAGCTTTGCAAAGCACTTTACATGTTATCACATTTGAAAGAAATCATAGTAAGCTAGCAACTTGTCCCAGGAGGACTGCTTCTATACGAAATCTACAGAAAAGGATAAGAATAAATTTAATAATGATGATGATAATATAATAAGTGTTTATATACCATGTTAAGGGTTGCAAAGTACTTCACACATTGTATCTCTTTTGAGCTTCACAGCAACCTTGTGGTACATATGCTTTTATTTTTCCAGTTTTATAAACGAGGTAACTAAGGTTTAGAGGGTCAAGCACACAGTTCAAGATTGTCTGAGTTAGGCTTTTCCCCTCCCCTGTCTTCATGCCTGGAGGCCCAATGCCAACTCTACTTTGTCTCACTGTATTCTCATGCTATGCTGAGGCCAGTCAAGGCCCAGCCATTTACGTTTTCTGTCATCTTTGGCACTCCACTTAACATCTTTGTGCCTCCATTATCTCATTTTTTGAATAAGAGTGCTGTACTACAATAAATTTATTCTCAACTCTTTTCCAGCTTACAACCTATATTGCCATTTGGCACTGTACCACAGTCAGTACCTCCCTGCCTATATGCTCCAGTTTCACTTAATAAATTAGAGTCCGACTTAATAAACCAAATGGACATTCTTTATGATACACCTAGCAAAAATAATTACTCTCTCTGAATTAGTGGCTCCAGGTGAAAATAAATATATGTGCACATCCTTAAGAATTTTGAATCTTACCCAAGCTAATTGCTTTTCTATGACTTTGCCCAGTCCATATTATTAATGCCCATCTCTGAAATGCCCTTTTCTAAAGAGCCCACACCACTTAGCAGCTTATAATTGCATTTCAACATGCTTTACAGTTTACACAGCACTTTCCTCACAATAATCCTTTGAGGTTGGTAATATAAGTGTTGTTAAGCCCCATTTTACAGATGAAGGAACTAAACATCCAAGAGCTGGAGTCACTTGTCTAATAAAATCATGGTACCTACAGAACAGAGACTCAAACAGAGATGTATTGGAGCTAGATGGAACAGGCTACTGCAGGCCTGATTGTTATTTTTTCAGTGTGAACACTTATACCTTCAAAATTATCAAATCTAATAGAATCATGGTACCTACAGAACAGAGACTCAAACAGAGATGTATTGGAGCTAGATGGAACAGGCTTCTGCAGGCCCGATTGTTATTTTTTCAGTGTGAACACTTATACCTTCAAAATTATCAAATCTAATAGAATCATGGTACCTACAGAACGGAGACTCAAACAGAGATGTATTGGAGCTAGATGGAACAGGCTTCTGCAGGCCCGATTGTTATTTTTTCAGTGTGAACACTTATACCTTCAAAATTATCAAATCTAATAGAATCATGGTACCTACAGAACAGAGACTCAAACAGACATATATTGGAGCTGGATGGAACAGGCTTCTGCAGGCCTGATTGTTATTTTTTCAGTGTGAACACTTATACCTTAAAAATTATCAAATGATATAATTCAGGGTTTGGCTTATTGTATTATTGCTTTTCTAGACTTAAGAATGTGATAGAGAAAATAATAATTCAGATTAAACTTAAAAGTATGCCAGAGGTACAGATTGCCCCCCAAAAAATTGTTAAATATTTACCAGCATACTCTTATACTCAAACTCTCAAACCTAAGTCTTCTATTTTAACTTTTCAGCTCTTTCTTCACCATGTCAGGAGTTCATACTACTTTCATTTGTACTATGCGTATTTGTATATACCATGTATTTATGTATACTGTGTAAATAATATTTGTATGCATATGTATATTTGTAGATGACTCTTGTTTTCACCAAAAATGAAAAGACTATGTCATCAAAACACTAGAATGATCATCCCGGCAAGATGAGCTATGATTTTCCTGAAACTAAATCAAACTATATTCATTTATTTCAGTGTGAAAACTCCCACATCATTTGCTTATGGGGATTTCATTTCCCCAGATGACTTTTGTACTTTACATTTGTCAGTCTAGGTTCTTTCATAAACATTCAGTTCCTTTCAAAACTCTTTACTAAGGATTTAGCAGTGCCTTAAATGTGTTTCTTAGTACTTTAAAATATCAGTAAACAATAGCAAAATGAAATTGTTGGGGTTAATGGGATCATGTCTCTCTGAATACATGTTTAAGGACATAAGTGTGATCATACATTTAGATCTGAAAGGCATCTTAGAGGTATCTGTTCCAATTCTGTTATCTTACAGCTAAGGAAACACATTCAGGGAGGGGAAGAAATGTACCCAAGATCACACAGGTAGTAAGAATTGGAAAACTCATGTCCTCTGAATCCACAGTCAATTGGTTTTCCATTTTATCACATGCCTAAGATCTTGGTCAACTAGTCGTTCAACAAGAACTTATGAAGTGTCTACTATGTACCAGAGACTATACTAGGGACAAAAAATAAAGGTGAAATGAAAACAAACAATCAAAAAATTCTAGAAGAGACCTTGGAGATTATTGGGTCCTACCTCTCCTTTTACAGATGAGGAAAGATGATCTAGAAAGAAGATACTTACACGAGGTAACACAAGCAGTAAGAAACAGAGCTAGAATGCTATTTGCTTAAATGCTTCTTATGAGTGTCAGCCTGTTAGGAGATAAATGGTGGAGGATCACTAAATATGGTTTACTCTGCATGGGTAAAGCACATTTGACCCAGTTATCAGGGTTTTTCCTTGATGTGATTCCCATAATCTAGATTCTGGTCATTCTACGTGTCTCTAGCGTTCAACCATTTATAGCTTTCATCTAAGTTGATCAGTGGTTTATGTGTCGAATACAATGATTTGGGCAGTTAGTTGGTGCTGTGGGTGTAGCACAATTTTATAGAAGGCATTTTTGCAGGCTTATCTATAAATTTATTATCTCTGATTTTGTTGAACTCATTGTCTTTCTCCATGCAGTTCTTCATAAATTGAAATTATCAGCTGAATTTTAGAAATGTTTGGGACTTGAAAGGAAAAAAAAAGAAATGTGAGCAATGTGATATAATCACTCTATGTGGAATGAATTTTTTTGAAAAAAAATATTTAAAAAGGTGTAGATCATCGCATGTGGCTGAAGATTTCCTTACCTTTGGTTGACCTTATTCATGTTCTTATTTAGAACGAAAAAGAGTTTTGTTTGCTTTATTCCCACTGGATACACAGTATATGGAAAAAATTGACTGAGATCAGATGTCATGAAAGTCATTTCTTTCCAGGGAGGCCTTCTTCAATATCTACCCTTTTCTCTTTTCCTCTTATATGTAAGTGTATATGAGGAACGGGGAGAGAGAGAGAGAGAGAGAGAGAGAGAGAGAGAGAGAGAGAGAGAGAGAGAGAGAGAGAGAGAGAGAGAGAGAGAGAGAAATGGGAGGCACCCTTCTTCTGTCTTAAAGCTGTTGCACTGAATCTCACTACTCAGATGAATTCTACACATGCCTCTCTGAAAGACTCAGAAGCATTTTCAGCTTTGATTCCCCTTAATAGTTATTCGATCTCGTACTGATGGGCACAATATCTGGATTTAAGGATGACCTTGTGTCCACATCGGTACTCCCAAATCCAGAAGACCTGGAGCTAAAAAGCTAGCTAACTGGTTAGCTAGTTCGTATTCTTTGCTTCTCTGCTGAGATTTTGGCTGGGTGAAAGAAGGAAAAAAAAAAAAATGGTGGTGGCAGTTCGTCTTCTCCCGTTCTTTTATTCCTTCTTTTCTTCCCAATACCTGCCTATTATAATTGTTTGCGAACTGCATGAGTGCTTGTGATTCATCCAATAACCTCTGTTGCAGTGTGTGCAGTGCAGTGCTGGGTACCCTACGACTGGCGGCGTTAATTGATTCGTTTGGAACGCTTCCCCAGATCGAATCCCAATCTCAGGTTCCCTTGGCAAGAAACTGACACTTACCAAGGTCCCGGATGTGGGGGGACCCAGGTGTGAGGAAGTTTTCACATCAGAGCTGCCCCTTCTCTACGTCCCCAGGGAAAATAAACCATTCCCCTCTCCACCTCCACGGAGGACGATTCCTCCACACCCACTTCCTGATCCGTTTCAGCTTCTCAGCGAAGCTAATCTTCAAATTGATCTTTCTCCCCTGCTATTTGGGGGAAAGGGGAGGACTGGATTCGGATCACATTTTAATCTAGGCATTGTTCTGCTAAGGAGGTGCAATCTGGTGTTGAGAAGGAATAGAGGCAGCTTGGAGATATAGAAAAAGAGATATGTGAGCAGCCGCGCTTGCCTTGCGCCTCCCCTCCCTACCTCCTCGCCATACATCCCCCTCTCGCGTCACCCCGCCCTCAGTTCCACTAACACGTGGGATTCCCAGCACTGTTTGGCTGTCATTTTCTCAGCAGGCAATTTCTTAAGCCATAAACGGTGGAAGCGACGTAGAGAGTGACAGGGTGGGCAGAGAAAGTGTTCCAGAGGAGAAACAATGTTAAGGGAGTTCGCCTGAAATCTTCACAATTTCAGTGAAAATGGTCCGAATTTGTAGTTGTTTTCGGGCAGCGTAGCTGGTAAGTGTGACAGGCCGATGCCACCTTCTCCCTTGCAATTTGAGATTTTAGGTCGAATTTAAAATGGCATTTTGCCCCAGCTGGCATGCATACCGAGAAGAAAATCTCAGCAGCTTTTTAGGTCAGAGAGTTGATGTTACTAATTTTAATGAAAAAAAGTACTTTCGTGATCAAAATATGGTTTTAATTTGAATAACTCATGAAAAAAAAAACTTTAAATGTACAACTCAGTGTCCTGGCAGGAGACCAGGTACCCTCAAACAAGTGGAAGCAATTTATCATATTAAAAGTGATTTATGGTGGAAAAGCTTACACCATCATATTCTAATTCTGCCAAAGCGCTAATATGAGAGAAATAGATCAGGCTATCTTCAAAGGATAAGGAAATAAAGACACCCACTTGAAGTAATGTAAGACCAGGAAATACAAATCTAGGGAGAGTTACCTTTCATTAAAAGAGTCCAGATTTAGAGTTACACTGAAAATCATGAGGTTTGAGATCATTATATGTGTATATTTATATGTATATAACTATTATATGTGTATAACTAATTATACATATAGCATAATATGTATGCCATATGTATAATTAGTTATACACATATAATAGTTATATATATCTATAATATATATACATATATATGTACTGCCACCACCTCACTAATAATAGAAATTTCTGTAGCCCTTTAAAGTTTCCAAAGTATTTTATATCCATAATCTCATCTAATCCTCACAAAAATAACCTTGTGAGATGTATGTGTATGTGTGTATACACACACTTACATACTTGTATTTGCACACCCTACCCATACCAAATTTACAACCAACTGCCTGAATTTGTGCTGACTTGGGTTGTGGGGGAGGAGAAGCCTGAGTATTTTTTCTTTTGTCCTGAAGAGATATCAGAGGCTATAATTTCATTGGTGTAAAGCAATTCCCAAAGCAGCTAGGTGTCACAAGGAGTACAATGACTGGGTCTGGAATCAGGGAGAGCTGTTAACATTTGACTCAGACACTTACTAGCTAGCTGAGTGACCTTGGGCAAATCACTTAATATGTTTGCCTCAATTTCCTCAGCTGTAAAATGGAGATAATACTAGTACCTACTTCTTCATGTTCTCATTGAAAGAGCTTTACAAATGATAGCTATTATTATCAGATTGTTAACTCTTTTAAAATCTGTATTCTGAAGGAATTGCTTGGGGGAACCTAGACTTTAATTGATTTGTCCAAGGCCACATGGATATTATGTGGCAGAGGCAAGGCTTGAACCCAGGTCTTTCTTCTTCTTTGGGTTATGTATCTACTCATTGCTCTTCCCTGCCTCTCATACTGCCTGTTCGTGTTTATGTATATTATTTGGAAGTGTTTGGCAGTGATTTGTTTATGCCAATACTTTAAAATTCATGTTCTTGTTGTCATTGTTTCTTTCACATAACAGACATATAACAGCCTGTTTATCTGCTCATGTAAATTACCTAAAGGTGCTGGGGTAGCTCTGCATGGTTGGGAGAGTCTAGAGTAAGCACAGCAACTTAGCCGAGTTGTTAGGGTTCTCCCACACTTATCCTGACCCTCCATTCTGAGAGGAACTGCTGTTTTTCTAGAGTCACTAGAAAATGTTAACAGATGAAGCCAGCTGGGCTGCCTCTGTTCTCTGCCTTGTAGAGGGACTGTGACATGGGGAGGGAAAGAAATAAGCAACTATATACCATGTACCAGGTAGTGCTAAGCATTTTTAATAAACATTATCTTATAGCAACCCAGCAAAATAGGTGCTATTATTTCTCCAGTTTACTGTTGAGGAAACTGAGGCAGACAGTGGTTAAGTAACTTGCACAGATCACACAGTAAAAGTGTCTAGGGCTAGATCTGAACTCAGTTCTTCCTGACTCCTGTCCCAGTTTTCAATCCATTTGCTTCCAGCTGCCTGGGAAATGCAAAGGCAAAGGCAAAAACAAAGACAAGTTTACCTTTTTCAAGCAAGGAGAGTAAATTGAAAAAAGAATACATATTTTATCCAGTGGTTGGTTCATTTGGAAGACAAGGCTACCTGGTAACTACGCTGGGTCCAAATAAGATCAAAACTGGGGAACAACTGGGGATTTCATTTTCTGTAGCTGACAATGGAGTTACAAGACTGTAGATGTGTTGTACAAATACTGTGATCTCATTGTATAATATTATATAGTGTGTCCATTTCCTCTCACCCCCCAACTTAAAATCTTATGACCCACTTAAAGTCAAATTGATTCCAAGGTTAAAATTTTGCTCAACCCCAACTGAGGAATCACTAAAACGCTTTGATAACCCTCCTTGGCCTGGACTGCCATCCGAAGTTACAGTCGCTGGTTGTCCTGCGACAATCCCAGTCAGGAGAGTAGATGCCTGCTCTCTGGTCCTGGAAATGCGGTGGAGGATGTTTGTTTCGCTATCTAGTACCTCGACAAGTCACCAGGGTACCAGTTCAGTTCCTGAATAAGCAGAGTTCAGTCTCTCCCAGAATCCCAGGAAAAGAAAGGGTTAATGCCTTAAGCTTGTCCTGCAGCCTACCTCTTCAGCATTCCCGTCTCAATTGCTTTTCCTACTTGGACATTTCCAGGGCTCCGGTTGTCAGAGCCTGGGGACCCTTCATTGATAACAACTACCCCTCCCCCTCATCAACCTCTTCTCTGTCCCTATCACTGAAGCAGTTTGCAAGGTGTCAATTGGGCAAAGAAGCAGTCTGGGGGTGGGCAGGGCCCCCATCTCCCACCTTGCCAGAGTCCTCTGACTTAAGGGCCTTCACCCTACAGGTGTAGCGCACCAGATTCTCGAGGTGTGGTGCGCATCTCTCACCTCTCGCCACGGGCACTGAGCATGCCCAGCTTGTCTGCGAGAGGGGTCCCCCCCAGAGGAGCTGCCAGCCAATACTCCATCGCTCCAGGTTTTATGAACAACCGCGAGTGGGGAGGAGGGACAGGAGCAAGGAGCCGGGCAGAGCAACGGGTTCAACACAGGGATTGGTCGCAAGTAGGAAGCTTTTCCACTACACCGGGTCTCGGGGAATCTGTCTGCGGTCCCGAGGCTCCCGCGGAGCTCCTAGCAAAGGTAAGACTGGAGGGAGGTAGGGCACTGGCTGGGAGCCACACTGCCCAGCCCGGGTAAGCGCTAACCAAAGCCACCCCATCTCGCCTCCGCTAAGGGAGCAATTTAAGGGGAAAAAATGTCATTTGCAGAGAGATGAAGGTAGGGACCAAGGCGGAGTAGAGAGTTGTCCTGATCACCCAGGAGGCAGCACTCCCTGGCAGGGTTCACATTCCCTTTGCAGGAGATGCTCTGCAAAGGCTGCAGACTCTCGGTCTTGGAGGCAGCAGGGACGGGCGCCCGCAGCAACAGCAAGCAACATCAGCAACAGCAGATCCTGGTGCTTGAGAGGGTCCAGCAGCCAGATGCCCAGGTCCCTGTTAGAGGATGGGAAGGGGGACTGGGAGCGCACGGTGAGCCCGGGCGCAGCACCGTGCGTCCTGTTCCACAATATTGCTGTGTATGTATTTTGTAGTCAGAAAATAAGTTTGTTGCACGGCCAGTTAGACATAAAACCAGGAGACCAGACGCTCGGATGGTGCAGGGCAGGAGTCCCTCCTTTCCTTCCAGTTTACCTCCCGCAGCCCCTCTAGTTCTGGTTAATTACTTCTGTCCTCCTGCTGCTTCCACGCCTTAATTACCCCCCAGGCTGATTTTCCTTTGGGCGACCCATTCGGATGCTGCTGTTGTTTTGCCAACGTTAGGCTCCGGGGGCTTGTGGGAATATCTCCTTCCGTGGCGTTTTAGGAAGGAAGAGAAGAGAATTAAGCAGCCTACTTTACTAGTATAAACTTCGGTGGAGGAAGGGCAGAACAGACTCTAAGGAAGGTAGAGGAGCTGTCCAACACTTGGTACTCATTCCACCCTCTTTTGGAGTAAGTGGTTGTGAGCCAAGCTGACTGCTGGGTTTAGAGTAGGGTTGGAGGCGGGGAAGGGTTATAGCAACTTATCCGGCTAGCGGTTTTGACCCTAGTCTGCAATCCTGTGTTTCCAGAGAAGGCGACAGCGACCGGGCACTACGTGTGAATCATAGACCCTGAGCAAGTGTGGTTCCAAGCCCTGAAGGAACAAGCCTGTTCTGCTCCTAAAATAGAGGGCCTCTGTATATCTACGTTCATACATATTATGATTTATTTATTTATTCATTCATTTCGTTTGTTTATTTTTGTAACGAGGGGCGGAGGGGGTGGGAGAGAAAGAGAAAGTGGTTTTCAACTTCCCCACCCCCACCCCAATCAGCCAGGGTGTCTGATAGATTTAGCAGCCAGCGCAGGGAAACAGCTTTGCTGAAGAAAGGATTTCTGCACTAGAAGCCCCAAGGAAGTTGATTGCTTGCCTAGGGCTCGAGATTTCTGGTGGAAATGCACTCGAACGCTCTGTAGGGCAAATCAATGTTACCGCCTCCCTCGGATTCTAGTTATTAAGTCGAGTTTGCCAGCAGCTAGTGAAGAAAGCTCTGGTTGTGGGTGCTTTCGGTAGAAATCCACATAGAACTTTTACTAGTTTGCCTCAAAGAATCAACAGGGATGGGGTGTGGGGGAAGAGTTCCTGGTGCCAAATTGACATAAAACAGGATCTTTTCCTCCTTTTGGGTAGGCTCATCAGATTTTTGTAACACAAACTAGCTATAACAAAGGCTCCTATTCCCTCCCTCAAGATACAAATGACTTGTATGAATGCAAAGAGGATGCCTGCACAGGAAAAAGGGTTTTATTTATTTATTTGTTTGGGGTTTTTTTTTTGCATTCTGAATGATGACTTTATATCTTTTGGTGGAGGGAGGGGGACTTACACAGCTATATCCTTACAGAGAAATTTCAAGCCTGGTGATACTGAAAGTTATTAATTTCCCTCCACTGAGTGAAAGAGAGCAATATGTTACATGAGACAGTGATGTTGGCTTGATTTTTTTTTTCCAGTGGCATTCATATTTCGTGTTCAAGTTTACTGTGTTGCTTTATCAATTTGAGCTGGCCAAGGATTTAGAGTAAAGAGCAGTAAAGGGTGTTCAGAGTAAGTTAGGGTTATGCAGGCTATCCAAAACGAACCCTACCAGAAGATTTTTGCTTCCTTGTAAAATGCAGCACTATGTAAGAAAATGATCTTTTTTTCCAAAGCTGGTCACAACTGCTACTTCATGCCCTGAGGTGTAAAACACTGAATACAACCATTAAGCCTACTTAGTTCTCAATCTAAAATCACTCAATCCATTTGCCATCCATCACTAGACCTTACAGTGCCCCTTTCCTTCCACCCCCCAAGGCTGAAGTATAACATGATATAACTGACCTTTTAATTAGGTTCCCAGATTGTATGAAAAATGACAGTTCTTCTGTCCCGGAAACAGGTCAAGGAACTGTGGAAAATATATCCAGAAGCAGATGTATTTCTGTATTTGGGGCATTCACTGGATCCCTCTTCATCCCTTTGGACTACTTGGGAAACTTTTTGTCTTTTGCTGTCTGTGGGTCATAATGGCTGTCACCATCATTTACTTCCTTCTGACAAGTAGAAAAAAAAATCTGAATAACCCTTTCAAGTTTTCCAATTATTTCTTGTTAATCACTTAATTCAGCTGATTCTCCCGCCTTTAATCTATTGCTTGATTTTGCATCTCACTGAGAAATGAGTCCATTGCCAATTTCCCCCTTTAAGTTTTAATTCTTTTAAAGACCATAAAGTCTTTTGTAGTAAGTGCTAGGATATTTGTTACTGTTTATTATATGCTACCTTCCTTTTTTCTTTTCCAGCTGAAAATCATATTATATACTTCTGATTTTTTTAAACCAGAATTTGTCAGATGGCTTTTAACATGTTGGATGTGTATTGCCTTATTAAGCTAGAATTTCCATTGACTTGTATACTTTTAAATCAGAAAGTCAATTGTCATGAAAAATAATTGCAAATAGATTGAATGTTTAACACAGTGAAGGCCAAATACTTGGGGACAAGTTTTTAACTGTCTTTCATTCTTTACCCCACCCCTCAAAGTAGAAGGATTCAATGCAGGTGATAATACATTCTTTCAAAGACTAGGTAGGGTTTTAGGCACTCTAGATTCTGGCACTATTTCTGCCATGTTCTGATAATGATCTTTTAGCCAAACTGCTAAGTTGCTGAGGCTTCTTAGAATCATGAGATATTAGAGTTAAAAGGGTCTTTACAGCTTATGTACCTAGTCTATTCCCATCATTTTTATGTATAAATGTTGCAAGATGAAGTTATCTTATCCAAAGTTGCACACTGAATCAATAGCAACTCCTTGGCATGTAGGTCTGCTGACTCTCAGGATAAGTCATGTTTGTTTGTTTGCTTTTCATTTATAAAATTGGGATTTTTTTTCTTTTATGATATGATTCTTTTGTTTTAAGGTTACTATGAGTCTGTAATAGTAAGACACATGTAAAAGTTTATCTAAGATTTATAAAGCACCTTTCTTCATAATAGAAACCAATCTCTCTTCCTAACTTCTAGTCTTCCAAAGTTACCACCAGCTTTCTACATCACCCAGTTCCCATATCCTAATACTCATCCTCAACATTTGGCTTCTCCCTTTCTCATGTAGACAGTTGCCAAATCTTGGCAATTATACTTCCCCAGTATCTCAGATCAATATCTTCCTCTCCATTTATGTGCTACCACCCCAGTTTGCATCCTTGTCTGATCTGCTGGGATAACCTTCCAACTGTCCTCTACATATTCAGGCTCTCTCCATTTCATTCTCCAATAAACCACCACATTGATATTCTTAAGGTATAGGTCTTTCTATGTGTCTCCCGATGCTCAAAAAGCTACAGTACTAACTTTTTCCCCTAGGATAAAATATAAACTCCTTTGATTGGTATTTAAAGCCCTTAACCATCTGACATCAGCTCATATTTCGTAACACCTCCTTCACATACTTTGTGTTCCAGCGAAACTGCATTACTGACTATTATCTGAATCCGAAATCCTATGATCTATCTCCATGGCTTTGCATAGGCTATGCCCCTGCACCCAAACCTGAAACATTCCCCTTCTACTTTTTGAAACTTCTAGTTTTCATTAAGGCTTAACTTAAGTGACACTTTCTATAATAGAATTTTATTTCATCCACCAATCTTAATCCTCCCTCCTTTGAAGTTAGCTTGTTTTTAATTTGTGTGTATATGTGTTTATAAATATATAACATACAATGTATGAACTTGAGTACACAGATATACATACATATGTTTATCTGTACATACATGTCATTTCAAGATCCTTGAAAGCGTGGAAAATGTGATTTTTGTTGTTCTGTCCCCACTTCCTCACTTAACACCTGGGGTTTGACACTCAATGACAGTTTATTATACTGAGTAGTACATAGATGTAGGTAGTAAGATTATTATAACCCCCATTTTACAGATGAGGAAAGAAAGAAAGAAAAAAGGGAAGGAAGGTAGGGAAGAAGGAAGGAAATGAGGTAGAGAGAAAAAAAGAAAGGGAGAAAGGAAGAGAGGGAAATGTAGGAAGGAAGGAAGGAGGAAAGAAAGAAAGAAAGAAAGAAAGAAAAAGAAAAGAAAGAAGAAAAAAAGAAAAAAAAAGAAAGAAAGAAAGAAGAAAGAAAGAAAAGAAAGAAAGAAAGAAAAAAAGAAGAAAGGAAGGAAGGAAGGAAGAAAGAAAGAAAGAAAGAAAGAAAGAAAGAAAGAAAGAAAGAAAGAAAGAAAGAAAGAGAAAGAAAGAAGGAAGGAAGGAAGGAAGGAAGAAGGAAGAAAGAAAGAAAGAAAGAAAGAAAGAAAGAAAGAAAGAAGAAAGAAAGAAAGAAAGAAAGAAAGAAAGAAAGAAAGAAAGAAGGGAGGGAGGGAAGGAAGAAGGAAAGAAGAAAGACTTCTTATGTTCGTTTGTTTTTTTACCATACCCTAGAATATCAGCAAACACTCATTGACATGTTCTGTGTTTTCACATGGACTTTGTATTCCTATATTCCATTAAGAACTAAATATTAACAAAAGCAAGACTTATTTGTATTTTGCCGTGTTTATCTCCTTGTAGGTATACCTTTC